GTGTGTGTGTGTGTGACCATTGCTCTCTGCATTGACCTCCTACTGTTCATTTATAGTTGATGATTTGATTTGCTGACCTTGAGGAAGCATCTATTTTTAATTGCATTAGAAGAAGGTCGTGACCCCTGAAGGAAGCTGCTGGCCTGATTAAAGTGCACTAATCTTAGTTTAACCCGGCTCCTTCACACTGATGCACAGCACACAGCCTGGATGTGGCTCGTTGACGATCTTGTGACTTCATACTTCCAACAGAAGGTCGGCGCTCAACGTGCAAACAGCCGCAGCTGCATTCGTGGAAACTGTCGTTTTAAAATCGTCGTGATTTTAAGACGAGCGAAGCACAATTTCTTTCTGCGGATGATTTTCAGTTTTTATCATCTGTTGTGACAGATTTAGCCAAAGCTGATGCATTCATGCATTCAATCCCAAAAGACACGTTTCAGAAGAAGGAAATCTATCCGTCACTGAGACTGAAGTGTGCGTCTGAGAGACAGAGGGAGTTTCTTTCTGTCTGAGCTTCTGGTTCCCAAAATTTCAAAAAGAATAAATCTTTTTTATGAGACTTTAATCCAATCAATGAATGACTTTAAGTAATATTTACATAATGGGGAATGTTTATATTAGAAACAAATAAGGTGGAAACAAGAACAAAGTCAATCAAAATCAGGACTGTGATGGACAACGTTTCATCAGATATGTCTCCAAAAAATACATAAATAAACCAAATACAGCTCTCATAGAAGGATTCTCTCCAAACTCTACGCTTTTCTTCTTCTTTGGTTTAGTTTGCATTTGAATGCATCACCAGCTCTTAGAAGGTCAACAGCCAGAGGATGATCGATAAAATAAGATTACGTGTGTGTGTGTGTGTGTGTGTGTGTGTGTGTGATGTCATTATCAAAGTCTAATCATTGCCTCAGGATATGGACTACAGCCAACCACGAGCTGTTAGTCTCTCACACACACACACACACACACACACACACACCTGCCGGTCAGTGGAAGTGATGTCTGGATTTTAAATTTCTGGCTCTTTAGATTTACAGAAACAAGAACTGAATTATCTATAACTATGAATAGATTATTTGTCTTACGCTGCCATCTTTCTCCTCTTTAACCCGTCTTTGTCCAGGCGAGGATGACGACGACGACGAGTGCGGTGAGGAGAAGCTGCCGTCGTGTTTCGACTACGTCATGCACTTCCTCACCGTCTTCTGGAAGGTTCTGTTCGCCTTCGTCCCGCCCACTGACTACTGGAACGGCTGGGCCTGCTTCGTGGTCTCCATCTGCATGATCGGACTGCTCACCGCCGTCATCGGTACGACAACAGCTGAGCGTTGAGATTGTGACATAAGTGATGAAGTACTGAAGCGAGGGAGTTATGAGACGTTCTTAAAGGATGTTTGGTACTCAAGGGGAGACACTATAAGCAAATAGGGTAACTAATAATGAACTGATAGATATTACCGTGATTACTGACATCAAGACAATCATTTTGTGTATTACAAGTTTTCTGAAATGTTATGTTTAAATATGCAAATGAGGCATTATGTAATGGTAACTTTTGGTGAATTTAGGAGAAATCTAGAGACGTAAACAGACAAAGTAGGTTTCCACTCGTCTGAAAGAAGAGATATAGACCAAATCATGAAATCGTGTCGTGTCTCCCTTTAAAATGTTTCTTTAGACTTTACTGTTGAGTCCTTAAATGAAAAACTTCAGCTTCACGATCACGAGACTGTTTGTGATCTACAGTGTTGGATGTTGATCTTCAGCAGCTGTTATTGGACTGGAATTTAATAAGGTTCAATAGAAGCGTGATGATAATGTTCCCTTCGTGTCGTTCCAGGCGACCTGGCCTCTCACTTCGGCTGCACAGTGGGCCTGAAGGACTCGGTCACAGCGGTGGTGTTTGTTGCGTTGGGAACCTCTGTGCCAGGTGAGAGAGTGTTTCTGTGACGGTGTGTTCTCTCTCCTATTGATCCAACAACAATCATCTTAAACATTCTGCTGCTGGACTTTCTGCCACATTTCTCTCTTTGGTGTTTAGCTTCAGAAAACCTTCATGAGCATAAAAACCCTGAGGTCTTTGTGCTCATCGGTGACACCTACTCAGAGAGTAAACCTTGACATTTTCTATTCCTTTGCTTCTGTTTTCATGACTGGGCCCTTCATTCCTTCCATTGCTGTTCTTCAGCGTAGATACTGCAGAATGAAAGAAGCTGCTGTGTTCCTGCAGCGATGGATGGTTTTCTTTCAAGCCTCATTCCAGTTAAAGCTCATTTAAACTGCAATCACGTAGAACAAATCAACGGCAGAAATGCAGCAGAGGTGTCACCTTCTCCTTAAAAAGGAGAAATATGTGTAGGAAGATGATTGAGCACATGAACAATGTAAATCTCACGTAGAGACATTTACATATCTGGGGGTGATGTGTTGCACCGCAGAGGAGAGCTCAACATGTTTATGGTTATTCACATTTACATTTATGTAACAGTTGGCCTCGGTCTTTAACGAGCACAAGAAGGAGGAGCTTCTACATTTACAAAGGAACAAGAGAGGAAGAGAGCATTTCAATTAACGATAAAATGAATCAAAGTTACTACAAGGAACGTTAAACTGGTTATAAAACATCTCAGTTTAATACTCGATATGACCTTCATTATTACACAAATATATTTCTATATTACGAGGTTTTACTGTCATTATACAACAGGGTTGCACAATAAAATGCAGATTGCAGTTTTATTACGTAAGACAACACAAACACACAAAACTAGACCTAATATAGTTCTTATAATCTCTACAACATCAGATGAAACGGCACGCAGGTTCACCAGAAAGTCCTTCAGCTCAGACTCCACAGACCCAGGACGTACTGCTGGACCCGCTGGAGGGAAGGGGGGCACACGAGAACCAGAACCAGGACTGAGAGGGGCAGACTGCTGCAGTAAAACGAGAGGTTTTCTAAAGGGAGTCTGGCAGCTGCAGATCTTTACGTCAGCAAAATCAACACAAGATAAAGGATCCTCGTAGTAACTTTGAATAAACACATCAGTTGAAATAAACTAAGACTTTATTCAATCACAGTTTTCTGCACGAGTGACACAGTTTACCTCCCAGTCCCTCCAGCGTGTCTCTGTATGTGGAAGTCTGTTAGAGGGAACAGACAGCAGCATGCATCACCTCTAAACAAGAAGAATGACTGTCCACTGCTACGGCACACTAAATATGTTTTAACCTTGGCATGGTCTCCTGCCTCTGCACACACGCACACACACACACACACACATGCAGACATGGAGCACATGATTGATGTATAACATGCACACACATTAACAACAGGACAACTGTAATTACTTTGAGAAACAGACTCACACAGTCATATACTTGCAACATATTACATTTTAGAGTAGGTTTCGCCCACTCTGCATCCACTCAAACACACACACATGCACACACACACACACTTGTACTGTGAGCAGCATGTGTTATTAGCATAAGGCTATTTGTCATGTCAGGCTCAGGTGGTCTCTGTCCTCCCATTTAAGGAGCTCAGGGGGAGAAAAGTGATGTATTACATACTATTACACACACTCTTACATAAACACTTTGAAACATGTATGCACACATAATGAAAATGTAATATTTGCACACACACACACACAGAAAAACATGCTCGCTAATGGTTGCTTTTACACACAACGTGTGTACGAACACACAGCTGCTTATAACACAGAAATACACACACGTACATTTGTTGAGCTGCAGAATGGAAAGAAAGTGGTTCAGCCTTTCTGAGGCTCTCAGCCTTAACTGAACCTCCCATAGCCCACGCACACACACACACATACATACATACACACACACACACACACACACACACACA